GTTTGACAGATAGATGGACGGACGAACAGACAGACAGAAAGATAGGCAGGTAGATGGACGGACGGACGGACAGACAGACAGAAAGATAGGCAGGTAGATGGACGGACGGACGGACAGACAGACAGAAAGACAGGCAGATAGACGGACAGACGAACAGACAGACAGACAGACAGACAGAAAGACAGGCAGATAGATGGACGGACAGACACACCACGGAAACGACAGGCAGAATAGTATGACGACGCGACAGACAGACAGACAGACAGAATGAAGCAGGCAGCAGGCAGTTTGACATGGTATGCGCACAAGCAGACGTTGAGTAAGGCAAGCATGCGCATGCGCCCAAGCCAAGCCGCGGCAAAAGGTCAAGAGGTCAAAAGGTCGTCACACGAGGTCACCAATGGGTCATGATGATGACGATAACTATCTGGCTTCTCTTTCATGTCGGCGATGGGTCGGCGACGGGCTCGCACGACGAACCATTGTTAGTCACACACACGAGGTGGCAGCACCGTCGCCGACGCACCGACCAATCAGACGACGAGACGATCCGGGACGTCGCCTGCAGCCCCCGCCAAATTCCGCTCCCATTTTCTAACGTGAAATTTTTTCGAAATTCCGAGCCGTTCGCGAGACGCCGGCGTCCCCTGGCGGTAGGCGAGCACGCGCGACCTTTTGCCCTCCGGCGGAGTCGGCTGGGCGGGACGGGAGGACGGCGTGCACGGACTTACGTGGAAGAAATGCGACCTTCGCTTCCGCGGGACGACGGCGGCGGCGGCGGCAACGGCGGCGGGCGGAGCCGCGGGGGACGAATCTGATTGGTTCGCGGGCGCACCCAGCGAGAGGCTGGAGCCAATCGAGCGCTTGCACGGCGTCAACCGGCGACCGCGCGTCGCCGCGGGGGCCGTCGCGTATCGGCGCGGCGACGGCGGGCGGGGGGCCGCGGCGGGGGCGGGGGGCGGCGACGATGCGCGGACACTTACAGTGAACAGGTTGGAACGGCGGCGGTTTTTCCTAGCCGTCGTCGGAGTGGAGCTGGGAGTTGGCAAGTCCTAGCAAAGAATAAAAACAGCAGATGTCACCACCGACTGGTGAATGGTCGTCCGTTTTCGGCTGCACTGTCTGTCTCTCATACCTCCCCCGCGCGCACGCTCTCTCTCTCTCTCTCTCTCTCTCTCTCTCTCTCT